GACAGAATCTCACCAGACTAACTCTAACTCCCCAAGCCAACAACTAAACACTACGAATTCCTTAGGGTGGTGCCAGTCTCATCCTCTTCGTTTTCCCATGCTCAAGCTGTGGGCTGAGGAGATGCTTCTGTCTTTGAACCTTCTCATCTCAATCCATCACAGGGTCATTAGCCTGAAGACTGCATCTTCAACAAAGAATCGCATGTTCAACACTTTCTCATTAACTGGGAAAACAGAAGTTGTGATTGGGTTCATACTTTGAAACTGAGTTACTGTTTGTTTGTGGGCCTGTTTCACTTATATTATTAAGCCACAAACCATGGTTTACAATGGCTGGATTCATACCAGTAATCATAACCATTGAGATACAGACTAGTTCCTCTGTTAGATCAAGCCACTTTGAACTATTATTTCTTGAAGAAAAGCAGCAGCTGGGTTTATACAATATGCGAAGCCCATATCTAACAAATTACCTTTTGTTTTGGCATGATGCATCAAGTCAGCCATCTTGATATTTATCTTCTTTTTTTTCTTTTTCTTCAGATGAAAGGCTGAATCTTCTCTCTCTTACCGTATTGGGACTGAGAGTGATTTTTATCAAAAGTGTTGCCCTAAACTTGATACTCACCTACCGTGCATGGTCGAGATGAGGTAAGCAGATCTTTTAGGACGGGGGACAGACCTTCTTCATGTCAATAGTTTTAATTTTACTAATTTAGTCAGGAATAATACTTTATTACAAAACTGTACTCAAGCCAGAAGTGAGAACTCAGTAAACTACCAGTTGAACTTGCTCTGGGTTGAACTCTTTATTATTATTTTATTCATGAATGTCTCTGATTTTGCTTTTCCATTATGAGAGTGCAAAACAATTTGGATCAAACTTCCTTAGTTAAAACACTGCTTTTAACTGGAATAAACCTGGGAGATTTTGCACGAAAGGGCAATTTCTTCCTCCAACTGCCATAGGTGCAATGTTTTTAACCAATTCTCAGGCAGATATACGTAGCAAAATCATGACACACTCATACATTCACCCATCTCAGTGTTCCCTCTCTTTTTTGTTGGTGCAGTGTTTTGGTAAAATAGTTAGAGATGTGTGTGTGTGTATGTGTGTGTGTGTGTGTGTAAATTCATCGGAAGAAAAGCTTCACCACCTCTGGGGGATATTTTCCTGATTTGAATGCCTTTTCAGAAGCAAAGCCTTCTTATGATCTAGTACATATGCTAAACCATGAAACAGCTTCAGCAAAACTCTCCATCGCTTTCTGGGAAATTCACCTTTCCTAATTATAAGATGTTCCTAAGATGTTCCTTGGATGTTTTCATTTATTACTTACATAGTCAGGAATGATGGGGAATACAACCCAAAGTTACCTATAGAATATCAGTAGTTCAAGAAGGCTTTACAGATTTTGTTTACACATATACACACCCATACCTATTGAAATAAAGGATAAGAAGAAGAAGCATCATCCCTGAGTGAAGTTTTAAAACTATGTTTGGATTAAATCACTTCTAGACTATAGGTGTGTGAGTGTGTATGTGTGTGTTTCCAGTTCTTAAAAGCCATAGGCTTAAAACTAATTCAACCCATTTGGGCTCCCATTGATCCTGCTCGCTAACAGCCATCACTAGGTTGGCCTTCCTCAATATGGACTTCTCAGCAGGGTTTGATGGAAGCTGAAATCCATTACATCTGGAATGATTGGAGGGCCCAGGAAGGCTCTCGCAAGATTTTTAATGGAAAAATTAAATTAAATTAAATGGAATCTCATGGTAATATAAACCAAATCTAAATTTAATGGCAAATTGCCAGCCTTTTGATGCTTGTAAATGGTCGGTCTTTGGGACAATGGGTACCATCATAATTCTCTAAGATAACCAGAAATATCTCTTACTTCCTCTTCCTGTTTAGAAACGAAAAAAGAACGGGGAACATAACTGGAATTTTGTGGAAGAAACGCCTACCCCATTATTTCTTCACCTGGGAGCAAACAGGGAAGAAGCAGTACTTCTATATTTGACTGGACAAAACCATCCTACAGCTCTCCTGTTTTCCTTTGCAGCTTTTTATTCCAAAAGAAAATGGCTTCAATTTTTGAATGTTTTGTGGTATAGCTTTTAAAGCACAAACAACTAGAAAGCTTATCAACCCAAATTCTTGCATTGCTCTAATGCATTATAATATCTTCTGAATATTATCTGTCAAAACATTTACTGTGTAATAAAGATGCCTATCTGAATGTCTGCGTGTATGGCTCATGCTTTACTATTCAGGTTCATTATTACCATTCCCCCCGTTCCTCAACAACAAAATAAACTCTCAGAATGGCTTACAAAGATTTGTAAGTCTATAATATAGGTACTGTAAGTCTATAATATAGGTAACATAGCATAATGTGGTTTACCTTACTGAAAATGAGTGAGCCCAGTCTTTATGGTCCTGCATGCCAACCCACTCATATTCTTTGTCATGATGACCTTACACTTTTAAAAATGTAAACTTTTTAAAAAACAGGGTTGGGTATATCCCTGAGGATAGCAGGCTTCTTAGAGTTATTGCCTGTCATGGAATTTTATTTCAACTTTTCATCGGTGCATCTAAGTACAGGCTTTGGTTTTACAAAAACTGTGTGCTGGATTAGACATATTGGCCGTCTGATCTTATCGAGTTCATCATTCATTCTTTTTTTTAAAAAAATAAAGTTCTTGTGTCTTTGAACAGCTGAAAAGAGGTAGAAGTTACACAGGCAATTTTTGTAGTACTAACATCTAAAATATTCCAATCTGGTGTTAAAAGGACAGAAAAGGCCCAGAACAGGGCCATAGAGAAAATCCTGAAAAAATCCTGCTGGAACCATTTGAAGACTTTGCCAATGCTGTTTTATCAGCTGGACCAACGAGCAAACTCAGTATAAGGCTGTTTACTGCATTGATAGCATAATATTGTACGTTTTAACAAAAAGTGCTGGAAATGTCTCAGCCAGAAGATTCTTTAAATAAAAATAAAAATAATAATAATAATCCCCAAGTGCCAGGGCCTTTTCAACAATGAAGCTACACTACTGCATCTGATTCCATTGCTTTAAAAGTTGTATCACTTGAAGAAGTATACCAGAACAACCTTTCTCAATAATATCACTGCACTTATATCAACCAGGTACTTTACATTCACTTCTAGAAACCCTTCTTGATTAGGACTTGTTGCATTAGTTCTGTAATCTTGCCTTACAAAAGATAACCCCGGATAAAGAGGTGGGAGGGATTCTAGAAACCCTCCTCAGACCTGATTCATATGAAATTCCATTGCCACCTACACAGAGGGGCTTGAGTATGAGCAGGAAAGAAAAAAATCATTACAATTTTGTTTTCCCAGAACAAACCACGGTAGTCAAGCTGAGCATACCAGTAAGTGATGAAGAACTTGTGTGCTGTCTAGTCTTTTACATCTAAGGGAGCTTCTTCAACCTGCTCTTCAGATCTGTTGGATTTTAACATACTATTTGTTGCTAATATTGGCTTGGAATTATGCTAGTTGAACTCTCCCATACTGGGAAGACACTGAATTGGGAAAGGCTGATCTAACAAGGCTATCTTCTTTCTAAGTCCCATAAAGTTCAAGGTGTCTTATTTCTCAAATAAGGAGGATACAGTTGTATGTTTACCATATATAACTTAAGTATTCTTTCCTGAAATTTAAGACATATTAAATCACCCACTGTAAGGGAAGAGTGGTGTGGGTGTTTCTTGTTTTGTGAAAAATAAGAGTCTGTGGCCTTCCAGACCTTCTACCCAAAATGAAGGAAGCAATAACTCCGCTTTATTCTAAATTAGTTATAGTTCCTCTGAAGTCCTGGATGTGATCCTAACTGCCACTTTCCATGAAGCTATAGACAAACTGGAATGGGTCAGAGGCAGTCACTGAAAATAATCCATGTTATGAAAAAGGTGAAACGAAGGAAGTAAATTTAGACTGAAGGATATTGAAATAAAAATGATACACTACAAGACAATTCTGGATGGAATAGTTTAGGAATGGAAAAAATGGATCAGCAAGAGTGGTGGGATTCACTTAACTGGCTGTCTTTAATCAAATGTTGGACAGCTATTTGTAAAAGATCTGTCACTTGATATTGGGCAAGGGTCTGGCTTATAAGAGTTGTGCAGGGACAATAACGTTGCAATAGTATATGTTATTAGTTACTCTCACAACTATGAAACAAAAAGATGTATCCATTAATTCATTAATATTCTGCCTCTCTTTGGACAGTTATACGATTCCAGCTTCCTTTAATCATTGGGACATTACAATTCTTGGACAGCACCTCTGCACATGATTTAGGGGGCATATGTTTTCCTTCCCCTTGGCTCAGAGAGAATACGAGCAATTTCTAAGAAATACGCACCCAATTTTATGGATTAAAAAATGACCAAACATAAAAACTTTGGCATTTTTATTGTTGTTGTTGTTGTTGTT